CTTTTGCCTCTTTGTTTGAGCAAGAAATAGAAGGAAACAGCTGAATTGTGCTTGGAGAATGAGTTAATGCAAAATCCATTTGAGGCAAGAAGCTTGGATGCTGGGGGAGCTTCCTTGGGCTCTGCCAAGTTCATGAAGCCATGTCTACATTTCACAGCCATTGCACTATGATAATGCGTATGCTGCTCTTAGCACAGCACGGGGCATGTAACTGAGGCTCAGGACATTAGGACCTAGGAGTGTTGGGGTTGCTGGTGTCATTATTATTATCAGTCAAACGAAGTCTGTGTTATTGAGTCCTCCTGCTTTCATTGCCTGCGGTCAGGCATCGTGGACAGATGAGCTAGATGGTGGCTATGACCATTTGTTTTCAGGACTGCTCTGGACACGTGGGGTATGGGGGAACTAGGAGTGGTGAACACAGTCTCATCTCTGGAAGATTTTCAAAGTGGATATCACGGGAAGCCAGATTCAACATTTAGAGGACTTGTATGGTCTCAAACAAACTGGGGCATGCTGGATGTAGCAGAGACCGTCAAAGTATCCCAACTTCATTCTCCTCTTCTGTCATTCAGAACCCTGACTTTTCGACATGCACCTTTCCCAGGTTCCTTTGTAGCAAGGTGAGGCCATGTGATTAAGCAGCAGTGTTATAGAGGAGTAGAAGTGTTTTAGGGGAGTAAATACTTTAATAAATAAGGAAGTTTCAATAAAGAAATTTTACTTAGTCTTCAGGACCTCCCAGAATCCTCCTTCTGTCAGCCTGGATTACAGATGTGACAGATGGAGCTCAGGAGATATCTTGGACCATGAAGTAACCTTGAGTTTAAAAGCCAACTTGGAGAAAGGGAGAGAAACGAAGATGTGGTAATGGGTTTAGGATGACAACATGAGGCTTCCAAACTAGTATTTTCCATAATGAGAGTGAAGAAGTATTTGAAGTTCCCTGTTTGAAACACAAAAAGGTGACCAGGCATATGGTTGTTGCTATCGTTAGTGCCACTGAGTCAATTCTGCCTCCTAGCGACCCCGCGTACAGCAGAGCAGAACCCGCCCCAGTCTCTTTGCAGCATCCTCTCATCTTCTGGCGCTCTATCAGACCATGCTCCACTGCTGTTTGTAGGGTTTACATGGCCAATTTTTTCGGAAGTGGGTGGCCAGGTCCTTCTTCCTAGTCTGCCTTAGTCTAGAAGCTCTGCTGAAACCTGTCTACCATGGGTCACCCTGCTGGTATTTCAAATACTGGTGGCATAGCTTTCAGCATTACAGCAACACGCAGCTGCCACAGAATGACAACTGACAGATGGGTGGTGTGGTTCCCTGGCTGGGAAACAAACCTGGGCCATGGCAGTGAGGGCACTGAGTTTTAAGCACTAGACCACCAGGGTTAGGCATATGGTATTTTATGAGAAAACACATGAAGCCTGGGAACATGGCTTCGTTTAGCAATTTATCAACTTCAGCTAAAAGAAATCATGCAGCTGCCTCCCATCCTGAAAGTGCTGCCTGTCCAGATAAGACACTGCTGAGCCAACATCTTCCTCAGCTATCTTTCACTTCTCAAACAAAACTGAAGGAAGCTCCAGGCACTATGCAATGCTATATGTAGAACCAGGTAAAGGGCAGAAGCTAGAAAATTCTCTTTGCTCACATTGAAGGATGTGTGAATCCAGCTCTGTTACTCAGAGACTTAGATCAAGTTCATGACCTTTCCAAGCCTCATTATTTCCATCTATAAAACGGATATATTTATACCCACACTCCTGGCTTCATGGGCATGTGGCCTGTGTAATTGCCTAGAACACTACACAGAACCCAAGCACCCCAAGCTTGGTTTAATGCTCTGCTGTCACTGTCTTGAAATTCTTAATACTTTTTGAACAAGGGGCCCCACGTATTCATTTTGTACTGGGCCCTGCAAATTGTGCAGCTGGTCCTGTTTATACCTGTCTCACAGTTTCTGGAAAGGGCCGTAAGAGATAAGATCTATCAGGTGCAACCCTGGCCCGGTACTTGATAGGTGCTTAGGGAAGGTAGCCATTGTGGTCATTTTCACACTGCTGAAGCTGTTGGTATGTTATCTGGCACCTGGATATTATGTCATATGTAAGATGGGTAGACAGAGTCAAGTCGAAGACTCAGCTAACATGACCAAGAGTGACCATTTTGCCCGTTCGATTGTTTGCGCACACTGCTGCAGAACTTCCTCAGACTTCTCTCAAGTTGGTAATTTGTTCCCACGAACCACTGGCTTCCCTTCCACAAGGCAGTGCAGATGCAAAAGTGGATGTTCTTTCCCTCTGATGGCCTTGCTAAGTAGAATGGCCATCAGGTCACCAGGTAAGTGGTCAAACAACCAAGAAAAGAGTCTATGGCCATGTACACAACCATCGTCTTATTTTAGAAAAAGAGACAGCAAATATGGACAAGGAGAGAGGGACAAAAGGGAGGTTGACAAAGGGAGACAGTGTTCGTCTCTTTGAGCTCTGTCTTTCGGGAAAAGATGGTTTGTAGGGCTCGTGTGTATGAAACTCATTTCTTTAGGACTGGGTATAAGCAGATCAAATCAAGAAACATAGTGCCAGCCGACACTGTCCAAGATGCTGACATGAGAGCATCCTGAACTTTATTTACCTGGGCTCAGTCATATCACCAAAGCAACTCGACCTCCATGTATCCTATGTTTGGGGTTAGGGTACCGTTTAACATGGTGCATAACTCCCATCTGGAGCACTGTTAACTATTTTCAGTGCTTCTGAAAACCAGATTTTCTCTGAAGGAAAGGACCGTCAGCGTCACGCTGAGTAAGCATGGCATGCAGGAAAGGGCAAGAGTGTGAATGTCTGGTTTCAAGGAGGGCTGCACTACCCTAACAGTGGAGTCCCCGTCGCCAGGTGTCGTGGGAAGCCTGCGGTGAGATGTGTGAATGTAGAAGAAGCATTACCTGGTGCCAGGCAGAAAGCAAAGCCAAGATGGAGCAAAGATCCACAAAAACAAAACTCACAGCACAGCTAGCAATTATCGAGCCCTTAATATACGCCAGGCACTGTGTAAGAACCCCATGCTTGTTATTATCTCATTAACTCTGACAGCAACCCTTGGAAGTAATTATTATTATCATCTTCATTTTCCACATAAGGAACCAAAGCTTGGAGAGGTAACTTGACTTATTCAAAGTCACGCAGCCAGTAAACATCGGAGCCTGGATTTGAACACAACCCATCTGATTCCAAAAACCAAACTCTGATTGCTCTCCTGGGCCCAGTGAGGGGGCCATTCAAAGAGGCCCAAGAAGTTTGTTAACTAACTCCTGGATGACAGCAGTTGCTGTTAAAATTGAGTGAAATCTCCGGCCCTTCCCTTTCCTCAAATATGTTAGCTACTCTTGCAGTAAAAGAAGGTTCTAGATTCATGCCAACCATACTTCACTTACATTAAGGAGAAGACTAAGAATTTAAAATTCCACTACAACCTTCTCTTTCTCCCAACAAACTGTGTGAAAGGAATATCCAATAGGGAAAAGGCAAAAAAAAAGTGACTTTGGTAAAGAAGTTGAAAAATATGCTTTTAAATGAGAAACACGTGTGTGATTATTCTTCATCTTTTGTCTCCACCCACCCCCAAGTTGAAAACAAGCTAACAGGATACAAATGTACACATCCACATAAAGATACAAAAAACCAGTGGTACCCTGCATGGCACAGAATCCAGAAGCTTCCCTGGGAAGCTTGAAGAAGTCATGGGAAACTCCAAGGCAACCCAAGCCCGGCTCCGAGCAGAGTTTTCAAGCATGTGCACACGATTCCCGGCAAAAAGGAATTGTGCTGTGCTTGAATTTTAGAGGGAATCGAGCAGGAGTGAACACCGCTACAGACAGGCCTGAGAGCAAGCAAGCGTGTCAGAGACTGCAGAAGAGCTGGAGTTAGGCCAACTTTTTATATCATTTCTTTTTTCTCTCCTTCTGGCACAAACAAGCTATGGAATCTCAAAAATTGGGTCATCATTTTTGAATTCCCTGCTTTCAGCACAGCACTCAGTTGGTCTTGTTGAATGGCTTAAAAGTCTGATTTCCTGAGCTAACACTTCCTGGCCATTCAGCTGCGGGGGAGTAGTAAAGTGGGGGACTGCCTTCCCACTGGCAGCCAATGTGCAATGGTTCTCACAGGCCAGCTGACGTCCATCCTTGTGTTTCCTGCTATTATATATTTAATAGCATCAAATATGCCCATTAAAGCACCACTTCAAAGGCCACCATTCTTCCTGGGAGGCCATGAGACAGGAAACAGGTTGACTCCCTGGGGAGTCATTACTGGCATCCTGATCTTCTGGGGTGATGGCTTTTCCCATAGGCTTTGGTGTTTCTAAGAGCACAGCCGGTCTGCTCGTGAGGGACATGGGCCTACGGGAAGCTGTCCTACACAAGCTCCACTTCGGGTCAATGAGAGATCTCAGGACTCAGGCAAGTAGTACCTGCCACCAGAGGGATATGGCATCATCAGGGTTTTCTTCTAGCAGCAGATTTAAACTTACCTCCATCGGGGAGCAGGTTTTGAGATTTTTCACCTGATTTTCTAAAATTGTATCAACAAGTCTCTAAACATCACTTTCCATCCCTGAGTTCCAGATTTCTAGCAAGTTTCCCCAGTTTGTCAATGTGAGACAAAATACACTCCTCCTTTCTGACCATGAAAATGCCTCTACTTCCTCACAATCGCTTGCTTGAGACTGATATAATCATGTCCCAGTGCAGGCCCCGACTTCAATATCGGCCTCCAATAAACTCTATGCTGGGTGAACAGGAAACCCATTGTGAGCTGAGTTTCTAAGACTCTTAACACTCAGGCAAGAGGCATCGAATTTCAGCGAGATCTTCTGGAGCATGAACACAAGTACAAACCAGCCATGGGGTCAAGTCTGGGCTTGCTTTATTTGACCTTGGTTTGTTTTATTTTATTTAGGCAAACTTTTTCGGGGGGCACAGGGGACCATAAAATCCTTACCTTTTAAAGGAGCCCATTGTTAACAATTTGTTCATCACAGCTCCCTCGACCTCACCAAAAAAGTCTCCAGTCTGCAGGGAAGAAAAGAAGACCCCATGAGGAAGTGTAGATAAATAATGTGCTCAAACACCAGAGCAGAAATCAAAACGGACACAGTCTGCATCCTGGAGCTGACAGGAGCAAAAGGCAGGTTTTCAGGACTACTGTTACATAAAAGTGGAAAAGGTCTTCCTAGTCACAAGAAGTTATGGGATTACAGAGCAAACTGGGAAGCAGATGTGAATGTTCTACAACACACGGCAGGGGCGAAGGGGCGGTGGCATTGCATAACATATGCTGAGTGCTGGAATTAAAACACACATGCACATGTGCACGCGCGCACACACACACACACACATATCCTCCACTACCCCTGAATGAAGTGGCATTAATCTGCATGCAATCCCTTGTGATTAAAATACTACTTCATACACACAGAAACAGGCTGTGAAAGGGCATCCTAAGCAGTAATAAAAAGAATTGTTTATAATTCCTGGTTGACCTGTTTAGCGAAATAGAGCAGTCCTCTTCATCAGCCCTATAAATTTCCTACAGTTGAGAATCCATCCTTTCTCAAAATCACTTTCTGAGGAACACCCTCATTTTGTCCATAGACAGTTAATGTGTTGACAAAAAATAAGGCCACCCAGCCGCTTGAGGAGACAGCATGGCCAATCAAACTTCTAATGGCATACCCCTACTCTGGGGTTGTCTTCAGGGCATTTGAGGCCTAGTATCCTTCCCTACCACCAAGCTGATGCTTTTGCAAGTCTGGTTCTTAGTGTTGGATGAGACTTGCAAACTCTGAATGGTGGAATGAAGGATTAACATCCTCTTGCATCCCTCCAGACTCCTGGGGCCACCATCATCAGTGTCCCATGGGGGAGGGTGTATGCAGTACAGCAGAAGAGAACTCAGGGCAATAGCCTTCCACTGCCAATACCCTGGAACGAGCCAGTGTAGACCAGTAGAGAACCCCCATCTCAACTGTGGGTGCTCTGAAGATTTATAATTTCTGTGTGGGTGGGTGGAGGGCATTACACTCAGAGCCCAAATCACATAAATTCCATAGGCTTTGTATTAACTAAATCCTGATTTCACTACAACCAAGTGACCTCAAGCATGCTCCAGGCGGTTTTCAGACAGAAACACATATACAGAAGTTGCCAAAAAATCAAGAAAGAGTGGAGAAAGAAGAAGGAAACAACATTTCACTGATAATGATGAGCACTGCCTTTCCACCCCAGGGACACTTGGGACGCTGGGCAAACTCCGTGGGTGCGTGCTGCTGTAAGGAGCAAGAAGGACATTTGTATTTTGTGTGTGTTAATATGTCAGTGTCAAGGGAATTGGTTGTTAGATGAAGAAGAATTATCCTAATTGGGGTGCAGGAAACCAGACAGACTCAAACAAGCCCAGGCAAAGCAGGCCAGCAGGTTCCCTGGGTAATGCTGCCGGCCTCCACCTCCCAGACACACAGCAGGGAACAGAGCCCACACGTAGCGGCCATGGCCTTGTCAGACCGGTTCATTTTGTTGGCTAGTCCAGGATTCACCACTGGAAGATATCCACCACACCCTTCCTGCCCCAGGATCAGGTTCCTATCTCAGCCCTTAACAGTTACAGCAGGAGGACAGAGTTCCTCCTCACAGGTGATTAATTTGGGTTCTTACTCCACGGATTCTTGCATGTGTCTTGGTGTTTCTCCTCCCAGCCAAATGGGCATATTACCATAGGCCTATGGACGACTTTCCTGATCCCAAGAGACTGGCTTTGTTTCATGGGCTCATTCTTCCTATCTAATGTCCATCAACTGTCCAAGGGCCAGTGATGTTCAGCATCTGAGGACATGGAGTGTGGGCAGTTTGAGCCTCACCAGTGTAATTTTTCACCCATCAAAGGCGCATTTAAAATCCTACAACATTCACATGCATAAGAAGGGAAACTGAAGCACAATTCCACACGTGACCTGGAGCCAGTGTTTATAAATTACCAAGCCGCTGAGCTCAGACCCTAAGGAGCCACACTTAAGGACAATTAACTAATTTATTAGGCATTAATAGGCCTATCGTACTGTTGACTACTAAAGAATTTTAAATGATTTAAATGGCACTTTGATATAAAATGTCAGTATCCTTAAACATTGGAGTTAGAAGAAGCCATATGTAGTCAACCATCCTCCTTTTACAGAGCCAGCCAGGAGGCCCAGGCAGGTTGAGTGATGTGTCCAAGATCCCAAAACTAGTTAAGAAAGACAGCTTGTTGGGGCCGGCCCTGTGGCCGAGTGGTTAAGTTTGTACTCTCTGCTTCGGCGGCCCAGGGTTTCACCGGTTCGGAACGTGGGCGCGGACATGGCACCGCTCATCAGGCCACGCAGAGGCAGCATCCCACATGCCACAACCAGAGGCACTCACAACTAGAATATACAACTATGTACCGGGGGGCTTTGGGGAGAGGAAGAAGAAGAAGAAAAAGAGAAAGACAGCTTGCGCCAGAAGCCATCTGCCTCTAATATTCTTTATTACACCACACTGCTAAACTTGTCTGTATTCTACCTTTTTTAGTATGGTAAATAATTTCTAATTGCAAAATTTTTTTGCTTTAAGGCATAATGTTTTAATTTTTAAAAATTTTTTAATTTAAAAATTTTTTTTAGTTTTAATGCACAAAGTTTTCAAGGAGAAATCTCTGTTTCTCTATCACAATGCTAGTGATTTTTTTTTTTTAAAGATTGGCACCTGAGCTAACATCTGTTGCCAATCTTTTATTTATTTTTTCTTCTTCTTTTCCGCAAAGCCCCCAAGTACATAGTTGTAGGTCCTTCTGGCTGTGCTATGTGGGACGCTGCCTCAGCATGGCCTGATGAGTGGTGCCATGTCTGTGCCCAGAATCCGAACCAGCAAAACCCTGGCCCGCCGAAGCCAAGCCCTGGAACTTAACCACTCAGCCATGGGGCTGGCCCTGATTTTAACTCTTATTTTGATTTCCAAATACAGTAGAGCTTTCTGTGCTCAGCCCATAGTTTGGTTTCTTTCCATTGCTTTCCCTCCTGCTCCCACACTATACACAGCTCAATCAATTGAAGAACATTCTTCATCTATCTCTGGATCCTTGTCCCATGGTGTGGAGAGCACAAGCTAATTCTTGAACCCAGATAACTGATTTTTAAAAAGCAAAAACCAGAAAGAAAGCCATATAGAATAATTATGTTTGAATACATATATATATAGATATCTCTCTATATATATCTATATATAGATATATCTGTGTCTGCGTGTATATATAAATTATATATATAAAGATAAAATATCAAAAGGAAGAAACCTCCTTAAAATTGTCCCAACTCTTTAAGGTACCTCCATGCTTGAGGCAAAGAGTTTTATCAATTGAACATTTTATGAGGGAGAGAGCAGACCCTGGGCTCTGCTGCCCACCCCCCCCTCCCCCCCGCCCCCCGCCCCGGGAGGTAAAAACTCTTTGGGGCCTGCTGAGAAGTAGGCTGTGACATTCTTAGAGGGATGGAAATAAGGTTTTATAATCTCCTGCTATTACCTCTTAAATATAGATGATTGTCTCAAAGCTTTCACACCATAATTTGCTCCCCCTGACCCGAGCACAGTCTGAGCTCCTTACTCAGACTTGGTAGAAATTTCTCACTCACCTGTGTGTAGTCTTCCGATACCAGAATAAATCCATTATTGTCTATGAGGTAACAGTTCACAGTCTAGAAAATAAAAATACCGCAGTTTCAACTTGGGATCCTCAGACTGCTTTTACGTGAAATGACGTACTTCCGACCTGAGAGGAACCTATTTTAGGTTGTTTTTGGGGAATTGGAAATGCTTGCTGGCTCTAGTTGTTAAGGCCATGGTGAAGCTAACCCCAGTGTTTACTTTGCAAAACTAATAAACAAAAACAAACCACCAAGCAGGCCTTGAACATCCCAGATTAGGATAAAAAGAATATACATTAAAAAATTATTAATTACAGTTTGTCTTTCTTTTTTTTTGTTGTTACAGACCCGAATAATTTTTCCCAGGAACAAAGTGTTCAGAGGCCCCCGAGCCTGCATTCATAGCGGCTGAAGAGCAGGCTGTTTTGAAAGCAAAACGCCAGCACAATGTCATTACTCTAATGATGTATTAATGAAAACACCGTGTCAGCTCAGAAGACCATCAGGGGACCAGGTAATATTTTTTAATTTGTTCATAGACTTAGGCAGGGGGGAAGGGGCAGACTTCTGTTAAAGGGGCCCCTCAGGCCTCCTAAAGGTTTTCAAACTGTGTTTTTAATTGGGAGCTGGATTTGGGGGCAGGGCTGTTAGCTTTTGGTAGCTCAGACTTATAAATTGTAGAAAGCAAGGTAAGCCCAAACCTCTGCTTCCCCCACACTACTTTAATCTCAAGTGAATGATTTGCTACAGGCTAAGTTTTAATTACAGTGCTGTGGAGTTTAAACTTAAGGTTTAATTCTGTCCTTGATGTAACTCAGTTTCTATTTATTGCAGCTTCACATACCGACTGCAACATTTAATTTGTAACATATCTTTACCCTGAGCTAAATTCCCTCTAGCCACAGGCCACCGCAGGGCTGGTGTTTTCTGGGACGTTTACCTGTCCGCGGAGTTGGTCTTAGTCAGGCACAAAAGTACAGCAGCGAGTTGGTCCCAAAGATTTACCCTTTATTATGAGGCAGTGGTAGAGAATCAGCAGAAAATTAAAAGCCCTGCTAGCACCTTTTATCAAACAGTTGGCTGCTTTGGTGAGCAACACAGTTTCTCTCAGTTATCGAAAGGGGCCAGATGAATGATTTGGGTCACACTGGTCACACTCTTGCTATGTGAAGAAGCTCTTGGCTGCATCGACACTACATTGGCCCTGGTAGGAGTCTTGACAAACTTTCTCTGTTTTTAGGAGACAGCATTACGGAAGCCATCTAATAGAGCTGTGCTGTCCAATATGGCAGGCACCAGCTACATGCAGATTTAAATTTAATTTTTAAGTTAATTAAAATTAAATAAAATTGAAAATCCATCTCCTCGGTTGCACTAGTCACATTTCAAGTGCTCTGCACTACCTGTGGCTAGTGATTATACTTTTGGACATTTCCAGCACTGTAGAAAGTTCTTTTGGACAGCAATGTTATTTTTAGGTCACACTAGTACTCCAACGAGTTTTAACCCAGCCTACATTGGGTCGTATTAGACAAATCCATATCCATTTTTATATGAATGTCATGATCCTCATTTTGCACATACAGACACTGAAGCAAAGGGAGGTCAACCTCCAATCAATAAATACATGTTCATAGAGAAGTGGCCTCAATATTTGGATATTGACTATCCATATCCTCACAGTTGCAGAGAGAATCAAAGATCATCATAACTCACTTCCATCCTTAACTATAAAATTAGCTCCTAGTCAAACATGCCTGGCCAATTAGCACTCTTGCTATTATACCTATATTGCTTAATATCTCTCTGTTCATCTAATGATGTAGACGTTGGACAATACAAGGCAGGTATGAGGCAAACAGATTACAAAGTCAACTGAAAATCTTGAGAAAGAGACAGGATTTCAAAAAGTCCATCAAAGTGATGTTGGAGATCTGCTCCAATCACACAGGAAGCCATTGGCACATTAGGATCTGTCAGTGGTAACACACGAAGAAAGAAAAAATCACCACAGATACCATGAAAGATGCTTTCGAGGAGAATGATTTCAAAAGCAAAGGACTAACAGATACTCCTGGGAAAACTGATTAAACTACTGTATTTGACTCCCCTTGTGATCATTCTGAGAAAATCATATGTAAAGTGAAAGATTCTATGTTGTGATTTTTATAATTTTATCAGAAACATTTTATTCCCTATTTCCAAACCCCACTAAATTTGTTTCTTTGCTTGGAGAATTAAATTACAACTGCAATTATAACCTAAATTTGTTAAATAAAAATATTTTTACAGTTTCCACTTTATTTAGAGACAAACCTTCAGTGAAACATTTCATTATTTGCTGTAAATATTTGGTTCTTTTCCTGCCCTCATTTCTTGAAAATGTGCTCCCTATAATGGCCAGCAGTGGGTGGAATCCAGGTGGGACTGGCCATTAGGAGACTCACTTCTTAGGTATCCACCCTTGCTCCCACTCTCTTCCAGAGTGGAAGGAACAGAGGGAAGAGTTCTAGAGTAGGGGAGAAGGCTGTTTCAACTCAGAACTTGGAAACCCAAGGCATAAAAATAGAAAGATGCCAAGTTTGGGAGAACACCAGTTAAAAACTATCATACAAGGAAGTTTTTCATAAAACATGCAATCCTCTCTAATAATAACAATTAATAATAATAATAATCATTAAGAAGAAGAAGGGGCCGGCCTGGTGGCGCAGTGGTTAAGTGCGCACGTTCCACTTCAGCGGCCCAGGGTTCACCGGTTAGGATCCTGGGTGCGGACATGGCACCACTTGCTGTGGTAGGTGTGCCACATATAAAGTAGAGGAAGATGGGCACGGATCTTAGCTCAGGGCCAGTCTTCCTCAGCAAAAAGAGGAAGATTGGCAGCAGATGTTAGCTCAGGGCTAATCTTCCTCAAAAAAAAAAAGAAAGAAAAAGAACAGCAGCTACAGGAGGACATCAACTCATGCAATCCTTAGTTGTCACGTGTCAAGTTGGGATTATCTTCTTGGACAGAGAAAACTGAGGCCCAGAGATGTTACCTTCCCCCAGGTCACACAGTGAAGCAAGCAGGACATGAATCCAGTGCTATGTGACTCCAAAGCTTCCTCTGGTCAACCCCCTCTGCCTTCCTAAAGACAATAGAACATAGTTAAGGCCCTGGGGTGTTGCCTGCTCACGGAAGCCTTTCCTTGTTTGAAAAAAAGCAATCCTTCAACATATGTATAGCTAAGGACAGATCTCATCTGCCGCGTGTTACCAACGGCAACACAACAAATGACAGAAAAATCAGCCAGACCAGTCAATGCACCATGTGCCCGAGATGTTATTGCTATGGCTGAAAACAAGCAAACACAACAAAAATGACTACTGTTTTGAGGCAGTTTGGTCAAGTGGTATTGACCCCAATTGTAAGTTCCTTGACTCTCCAAGCACACAATTCTTAAGCTAATATCTGAAACCAAGAGACTTAATGAGAAACAGCTCAGGGGGATTTTCTGTACATCCCCATCATTTGCTGAGGTACAATCTATGGAAGAGAAAAAAAAGCCCATTATAGGCTAGAGTCTAAAAACACATTTGACGACCCACTCAATTTGGTCAGATTATCCTCCACCCCACCAGTTGGTGATGGGAAGAGGACCAGGAGGAGGACTGGCCAAGTCTTTGGAGTACTGTGTGCCTAAGCTTCCACTTCCTCCAGAGGTGCCTCATTTTGCTCAGTGGACATGCTCTCTCGGTGAGGGCTGGGGAAGTGAATTTGTTTCCTCTATACTGAGCACCCACTGGCACTTACTTTCTGGGCCGTGCTTCCATTTAACATTTTTTAAATTCACTTTTTTCCCCCTTAAATTAGGATTCCCTGACTGCACCTTGGTGGCAGAGAAGATGCCACACTGTACTGTTGATGGGTCAATTTGAATTTCAAGGTTCCATTGATTATAAAAAGACTTGGCCATTCTATTAAATGAGAAATGGATACTGCCAACACTGTGATTTACAAATCACTGAGAAAATCACAGGTCAAAAGCAAGGATGCTGTGTCATTGATGTAGACCTGGGTCACTGAATCTGAAAGGTGCCATTTAGTTTTCATTACAGGCAATACCATTAGGTTAGGTAAATTCAGTCACCATGATGACTTCCTAAATAGACCTGCCGACAACAACCACTTGGATTAAATGGTTATTGGGAAGTGCAGTGGAGTGGAGCAAGCCCACTGCAGTTAGATGAGCAGAGTACTGCGTTATGGAATAGTCAGGACAGAATGAGCCAGATGCCAGTCTGACCAATTGTTTTCTCTACGTCTTTTTAACAACAAATAATATTCGATTGCCTTCTCCATACTCTCCCTCCAGTAAAAGGAAACAGAGGAGATATTTTCTCAGCTATTTCTCACTACGATACTTTTGCCCCAAATTAAGCCAAACATCTCAGAAGGTCTCTGCCTATCCCCTTGTCCCCAGGGTGGACGGACAGGCAGAAGGGCTTGGAGAACCCAGGAGCTCTAAGCTTTGTCAAGAGTTGTAAATACCTACTCCACAGCCACCTTTGACAAAACATCTAGGGTTGAGGTTGTTTGAAAAAGGCAGAGATAAAGACAGGGAGTGAGAGGAAGTAAGAAGTTGGTTTTTAAAAAAGGACATCTTTCTTTAACTATTTGATGACTCAAAATTGCTCACAGAAGTTTGATTCTGGGTCACAGAGGCAGATCAGGTAGATACGTGAGGTTAAGGCCTCAAACCAGGCCATGGGAATCGGGCAGTCACGGACAGCAAGGAAAGCTGATGCGAGTGAGAAATGGTGCGCCAAGCTGTGTTAACTGGAAGGTGGTGTTAGCCTTGAGGCTAAGATACTAGCTTGAGAATCAGAGACCCTGACATTGCTATCAGCGTGACCTTAAGCAAAGCCTTTTAACACTCTGAGTCTCAGTTTTCTTATCTGAAAGATGGAGATAGCAACAACTATTAAGTAGGGTTGTTGAGAAGATTAAGTGGGAGGGTGAGTGTAAAGTGCTGAGTACAGCATAAAGTGCATTGTGCACAGAAGGTCCTCGAAGAACCTGCGCTGACATCCACTCAGCAAATAATGTTTACCCGTCGCCTACTATGTGTCATCTGTGGAAGCATCCGAATGCTATAAATTCAGAGTTTCTCAGAAAGGGAATTCATTCCATAGTTCATAGCAAGAGGTTGTGCAGGCAGGTTAGCTGAGCTTTGTTGCTTTTTGTTTTGCCTTTGTTTTGAGGGATGTCTTTTGTTTGTTTTGATTGGTGCACCCTGAGCAAGGAATTGAAACAACTCACTTAGAAGCCAGTATTGTACTGCCTGTTATTTTCATTTTGATGAGAGAGCGAGAGAGGAAGGGGCAAGAGGGGAGCTAGGTCCTTACACCTGAGAATGGGACCTGTGCCTCTGCATCACAGGCATACAAAGAGGCCACTCCTTACTACGGGTAAGGTCTCCAGGTCTCACAGTCTGATCCCTCCTATTTCAACTGTCGAACAGACTGAGCCTTACTTCACACACTTGATGGATCTTTCCATCACAGATCAACCATCATATCAAAATACTGTCTTTTGAAAAAATTTTTACAAAGGAATCACTTTGGAAAGAAGTACCTGGTAGGGGTCCCCTGTGCCCTTGCCCTCAAGAGCTATTCCACTGACCCTCAATCCCCCCCGGGCTGGGCTGGGTGGTTCCGGAGGTGGAGGCACCTGGCAAGTTGGATCTCGCCCTTCACCCAGCCCATCATGCTTCAAGGAGGTCTTTCAGATTCCAGGGGAAATGCCTCCAAGGACTTACAAAGTCTAATCATGATTATTAATTTCAATTCCTTTGGAACAAAAGAGGTTGACAGATGAATTTGAAGATGAAATTTTCCATCCACTCACTGCCCTCACACCTCCTCCAAATGCCCCAGTAGGAGAGAAACTTCTCATCTCCCACTTCCTTTGCAAAATACTGGTGCCCTCACTAGGAGATGGTGGCCATTGGAAAGATGAGTGGAGAAGAGAATGAGAGGAGTGAGAAGACAATGGTTCCCATGGGTCAGTCTGAGACCAGAGGTGGGCCTGGCCTTCCTTCTTCCCTTCCATCTGAGTCAACTGTGTCTCCATAGACCACAGTAACTCTTTGCCACCTCAGCACGTTGCACGCATGTGGTGATCTCTGCCTGTAAAGTAATTCTCATGCTCTGGGCATTGTCTTCAATGTCATCTCCTTTTCTATCTTCAGTTGATTTAAATGTTACCTCCTCAGAGACCCCTCACCTGACCACCTCTCATTAGTTTAATTCGAAGCATTCCGCACAATTGATAATCACATTTGTTTACCTCCCCTGATAACCAGTTAGCTCCTGGAGGGGAAGGGGCCAGTTCTGACTCTGCTTCCCATTGAATCTCCAGTGGTCAGAGGTAACAGGGACATAGAAGTGCTCAGTAAACATGTCTTGAAGGAATGAGTGAGCGTATGAGGTGTTGCCTCTGCACTCTGAAGTTAACACTCTCCCTGGGTGAAATGGAGCTCTGTAAAAGTCTTCAGTCAGGCTCAGAGCCAGGCCCTCCAAGTCACGTGGCTCAGGCGCTGCCTGGGCCAACCAAAGATGTATCTCTGCAAGATGAGAAGACACCTGGCCATACAGACTCCACCCACCAGCAGAGGGCACTCCAGCCAGAGCCCAGGGAGTCCACTGATGGGAGAGACAGAGGAGCTGGAGTGGATCCACGGCAAAGCGTGTCTGATAAGTCTGAGGAAGTTGGGCCAGGTCTTCAGTGCAGAGGAGAAGCCAGAAGCATGTGAACTTAATGAGCCCCCACAGCTGTTTTTAATGGGGACCTGATCACTACAGGGCAGTTGGGGGAGAGGAGGGACATGGTCTCAAAGGCTTAATTAAAAGTTATGAAAGGAGAATGACACATGGAAAGAGTCTGCTGAAAGGTTGGAAAGGGGCCTCAGTGGGAAGGCAGGGCTGGCTTTTCCATTTAAAACTATGTCAATTGGTTGCCTGAAGCCAAAACTTAGAGTCAAAATGGGAAATGGATGGCAGTTTTAAAGTACAAAATCAGGACATTCAAGCATCAGATCAAGTTCAGAAATCAGACCAAATTCAATGCCTAATTTTCAAAGTATCAGAACTTGTAAATGACATTTGATTGGGGGTTTATCCCAATAGCTGCTAATGGAGATCATTAGTAGCAAGGGAGGCATCATAGCTTGTGCTTAGTATGCCCAGAGAAGTTGTCAGTTGGTTAAAGTGCATATGCGATTGCTGTCTGAGGTTTTAGACTCAGGTGAACCACTACTCTAAGAGAAGAAAAAGTCTGCAGATATTTTGGGTTTATAACTAACAGTTACTGAGTTCTTACCATTTGCCAGGAGCTTGTGCCATGCATTTTTCACATATCGTCTCATTCATTCCTCACCTTTATTCTGTCAGGCGGATATTTTATCCCCATTGTATAGTTGAGGAAATTAAGGCAGACAGAGGTTTAGAAACTTGCCCAAGGTCACATAGTTTATTACTATCAGAGTCACAATTTGAAGCTATCCTAACTCTATAGCCTGTACCTTTAATGATCATTCTATACCACCTGTGAAATCAGTCATTGAACAGCAAACATATATTGGATGTTTCTAATTCTAAGTGGGGATCCATTTCCACTTTTTTTTTTTTAAAAAGCTAATTTTAATTGTGGATTTGATGACTATTCAAGTTGTCATTTCCATTTGTTTGTATATGTGAGGGTGCACAGAGGCAGAGTGGGTTGTAGGAAGGTTACTGCCTCTGGCTTTATTCATCAAATTGTTTAACCAACTATCATTTACCATTCAACCAACCAACCAGTAACCAACTTATCAACCAACCAGACACCTACCCAATGAGCCAACTAACCAACCAACCAACGAACCAACTATCCAAACCAACACCATCCCACCAGGCAACCACCATACAGTCACCCAACTAACCAATGAACTATATTCAGTTCTCTTACTGTAAATGGGATTAGTAATTACACCTACCATGCAAGTAAAGGATGTAACACAGGGGCTCGTGACACTGATTAATCAATATTATTATTGAGCTGTGTTGTTCTTGAGTCAAACACCCCAAAATGACAATAAATGTCTCAAAGACAGAGGAGAGCTTTGAGGCCACTTGACTATGCTAGGAACAGCATCCCCAAACTTACTGAATTGGCGTTGATCATAAAACATCACAGGGTGCTCTTTCCTAAAGGAAAATTTGTTGTGATCTAATGGTCAGAAAAAGTCGGGCTTCTGCTAAAAAGCTGAATGATCGGCCTTTATTCTTTGGATAGGAATTCATAAAATAGTTATGATTTTTTTTAAACTGGTAGCCAGACCTTTGGGGACCGAGCATTGTATGTTTTAACTTCATCCTGTATTCCCTATTATATTTCTCTATTTGTTTTTCATTTGCCTACTTTTTTGAAATCTACTTCTAATCTATATTTTCTGTGTTGAAATTATGTTTGGTTAGGATTTCTTTAAACCTTGTGGTATACAGAAGGAATATAAATACATGATTATTGGAAGTTCCAGTTTACGTATTGACTAATGTTTAGCTAACACTGAGAGAGATTGGCTACCTAAACCCAGGTGAAAAGGCCACCACACAATTGCTCACTCCAAAACATGGTGTGTGGGATTGAATGCTATGAAACACAAGTCCAGTGGACACACTTATGGCAGTGGTACATTTTTTTCTTCTATTGTTACATGTGGGATTCAAATTCCTCCTCCCAGAGAGAAAGAGAGCGGAAGGAAGGGAGGGAAAAGGAGTTGTAGGAGGGAAACACAATGCTAAAATGAAAAATTCTGAGTTTTCAACTCCTAGTTTTTCCGTTCATTTACTACATGAAATTAAGCAAGTCATTTCATTTCTCTAATCCTCAGTTTTCTTATCTGCAAAACAGGACAATAATTCCTACCTATTTCCTTGGGTTGTTATGAGGATAGAGATAACACCGTGCATAGGGCAGAAGCTTTGAGAATTGTAACGTGAGCTTGAAACGGCAGTAATTTGTATTACTTCTTATAAAATGCCAAAATTCCAATAGTGCTGTCTGTGGGACATTTAAAGCACATTTCTCCAGCTCTTATAAATGGTCTGATTGGGGGAAAAAAGAAACAAAGCAAATGTCCTTGGGTTTCTGGAGACTGGCCCAGAGCAATCTGTCAGACCTGGCTCTGTGGACAGTGGCATTCCCTTGGTGAGAAAGCACTCTCTGTCACCTCCCCTTGGCCAGGCCAGACACAAGGCCAGGAGGCCATCTTACCTCGTCATCGCAGCTGATGGAGCATTTGCCATCCAGAGAGGCGCACTGTGTGGGAGGAGGGGGAAAGCAAGGGGAAACGTGTTACTTGGCCATCCCAGCGTCTACTGTGGCTGCCACTTAGCCACTGGGAGACAAGCTATCAAAGTCCTTGCCTGTTATGCAAATACCAAATTTCATCCAAAGGAATGCTCCACGGTGAGTCTTGCCTGCTCTTTCTCGGATCATATCAACTCCAAATAACAACGTAAAGGACAATTTTGGAGGGAGGCTGGCTCTTTTTCATTTTAATTTATGTTGTTGTTCAATACTGATACCTTTTTAAGATATTAAATCTTTAAGTAACAAGAAATATAATTATGTAATTATTTAATTTTAAATTAATCTCCAGTAAATTAAAAAAAAATTCCCACTCCTGTCTGTGTCCTTAGTTTATGGTTTCCCAAAGTATCTTCATTTAAGAAATGATATAACATTGTAACATTGAGAACTGGGCAGATGGAGGCAACTTATCAGTTGCCATTTCTGCCGAATTACTGAATAAATACCACTGAGACGACTTAGTACAGAGAGTATAGTGCAAGAAAAGAATGCTCCCAGTTTCTCCAAGGCAGAGAAGCCCTCTGGCCAAAGAAGGCAGATGCATGCTTAGTCAAATTTAATTATGCAAAGGCCTTCAAAAGTGCAATAAAGAGATTCACAGATAAACAACAGGGCACCACAAGATTAGAAAAAAGTCACTATGAAAATTCACAAAAGTCCCCAAGATTTAAAAGAAAAACTTCTCCTTTGGAAAGTCACTACCTTGATTTCACAATTAAAACATTTTGTAGGAGAAAACTCCCTGCTGTCCCAGCATGTGGTGTCTAACATGCTGACAGCCCTTCATTTTGCAGTGAAATGAAAGGTAATCTGAGCAGCCAGCAGTTCATTTTACAAACATTCATCGGAAATCTGGCACTTTTAGACTCCGGGTACCCAAATGTGAACACCTGTATAATAACAGTGTTGCTAATGCTTCAATATGCTGATTATAACTTACCTGTCTGCTGGCAGTCCAGAACTTCCTTTGGAAAAATTCAAGTTTCATCTGAATGCCTACAGCTGGGACAAATTATAAACAAAACAAGGCATTAGGGATCCCTTTACACAATTATTTAAGATTATCACTGAAAATTACCCATTATGGCAAGAAGCTGAGGTAAGCATATCAGATAAGAACACTTAAAAACGAAATCTACTGTGAAGCATCCAACTAAGACATTTCATCTTTCAGGTTAGGAATTCTCAACATTACCTGGACTCGGAGAACTCTTGATAAAGAACAAGCTGAGCACAGTGCTGAAGGCTGTTTGGAGACAGGCCACTCGAGTATTTCTAAAATTCATATACTTGTGGTCACCTCAAGTCACCCTCCCCAACACAAGATGAAAACAGGAATGAAAAAAAGATATTCAAAAGATCACTGTTTCTTCAGAGTTCCTGTTACACTTATTACTGTATGAACTTACATGTCTAAAATGTGTACTAGGCATGTGTTCTTGAGATATAACATTTGAAAAGCACTTGTTATGAGGAAGGTATTCGGAAGCGAGTCACTTTGCTATGATGTGACCTAGCGTAAGTGGCCCCCAGTATCCACATCTCAATGACCTCTCCCCCACAACTGGTGGAATTATACAATTCTTTGCTTATCTGTGAAAAACTCCCTAAAGCAAGAGGCAATCTTATTTCCAGTGAGAGAAACATACAGACATGAAAGAGGTTAAGAAAGGATGAAACTTTGGGAAGTAGAATTTGGTGGAACCTCAGATCTAAGACATGAATGAGCTCACAATATTTCTCTCGATGAAGCCAAGACAATGTGACTCTTGAAACCACTTCAGAAAAGTGCTCAAGTCAGGGCAAAAAGCTTGTCAGATGATGAGAAAACTGGAGAGGAGCTGGAAAGAAAGAATGAGACTTTGTACGGGAAATGCTGGACTCCCCACCCAGGGCAGTTTTGTAAACTTCAGTCCGTTGCACACAACCTCCCCAATTTTTGCCTTATCTGCATACAAAGAGTATTGTTATTTATTTTTCCACACTTTTTTCCTTTACTTAAATACCTAAAGTAAGTTCAACCTAAGTAATAATACCCATCAAAAGAAATACACAATTACAAAAAAAAAGTTCACTCATATTCTCTTAAAATCTTGCATGCCACATGTTAGACCCCCTACTTGGGTAATCATTGCTGTGCTGGCTCCAGGAGCCTGGAGATTCATGAAGGTCTTGAGCTATTACCCTTATAACTTTCAAATGCATTTCCACTTCCTAAAGAAATTGTTAAAGCAAGCCCTGAGAGTCAAGGTTGACTGGAGGTACGTACATTTGGAGAGACTCATCCTCTATCTTTGGACTTAGAAGGTCAGATTCTAGCATAAGATTAGAGCCAAACATAGCTTAGCAATATGCAATATGCAGAATGGGAAGTCTCTGAAATGCACCATTCCAGCAGCCTGTGTCCATCCTGCTTAGCCCTCAGTGTCCTCCACCCCCTGGACCATAAACTCCCCAAAGGCAGGGACCTGTTCTCGCTCCCCACTGGATCCCTGCAAAGCACACATTTGGTGCTGAACACACAGACAATCCATTGGTAAATCCTTGCTTTTTAAAAAACCTTTTAGATGATTATAGTCAGTAGTTATAGAAAAAGATGGAGGAGTAACAGCAACATGAATTATAATCACACCCAAATAAAGGGTTTTTCAGTGGCAGTTCTCAACAGAGAACCACCCAAGAACTTCAAGAGAAAGTACTGATGCCTGGGTGCTGTCCCCTTCTGCACCAAGACCATTTAAATTAGAATTTCTGAAAGTGGTGTCTAGGTATGGGTATGTTTAAAAAGCGCCCCGGGTGAATGTGCAGCAAGGGTTGAGCACGGCTGCTCTATGGTCCCTAGCAAATTGGCCAGCAAGGATCTATCACTTTGTCAGTCTAAAACAGGAGCTGCCCTTCCTAGCTCTGGAGAAAATTTCAGAGAATACCTGAAGGAAGCTGATTTTGGAGCCCGAGAGCTGTTTACTACAGTTTCAAATAAATCTTCTCTTCCACAACGCCTGATGGGCCATATCCCTGCTGGGGATGAGCCAACCGAGGATGCTGTGAGCCAGGTGTGAGCTGGGTTTTGCTCGGATCCACGAGCAGCAGAGGTGAGAGCCTGCCTTATGCTTAAGAAGGGGCTGGGAATGAGTATCTTTGGTTTTACCAGAGACAGGGAGGCGTGGCAGAAAACTGACTTCAGAGCAGAGGGCCTCAAAATTGTTGTGACATCCAATCACTGGTATCTAAGAGAAGGTAGAAAATGAGTTTCTCCCTCTTCCTCTGTGTGTCCCCCTCTGCGGCTATCCTCTCGCAGCTCTTCCCAGGCTGGTAGTCAGAGGGTAATTCAGAGGCCACCTCTTAGGGCCAAGGTCAACAGCCACGGCAGGTTTCAAGACCCTGTAGGATAAAAGCAGGGGAGTCCCTGAAAGAGTTACACCACAGGGACCTTTCCACGGTGTTTCTAGCTCCAGCAGCCCAGAGTTGCCCCGACCCCACCCATCATCTACTGGGTTCCCCCATCAGTGACCTGTGCCCTTTCTAAGCACCCCTCCCATTTTCTGATGGAGCCCCTGTTTTCACCTCCCTAATGACGCTAGCTGCTCCCTCCTGGGTGTTTATCCATCTCACATACTTGCAGCCTGCTATCATCTGCCCCTTTTGGTCTGTACCCCAGCTCCTCAGAGTGCTTTAATCTTTCCTCATGAGTCAGTCCCTCCATCCCATTAATCATGCAGGCTGCTTCTCTCTGATCTCCCTCCAGCAGGCTGCATCCTCTCCCTGGTCCTGATGCCCTAAACTAGACGCCACTTCCCTCGCTCCTCACTCACTCCCTGTCTGGGCCATGAGGTCCATGTCAAAGGGCTTCCCAGACAGTCCTGACTGCAATGGGTGTGCTTGGTTTTGCCCTGGCTGTGTTTTTGTTGACTGATCCTCATGCCCCCTCCAGCTATTCTGGCCCCTGGCTTCCCACAGCACATCTGGGTTTGTAGTATTTTCACCTACAAGTTAATATACTTCTCTCTGATGAGGAGAGTCACAAGCCCATTGGTGGGTCAACTTCATGACCATTGGTTCAGTGGTCTTCTCCGTGCTGAGCTCCAAGCTAAGTACAAAGGGGAATGAGACCAGATGCCCTGTCAGCATCTAGGTGGGGAGTGACCACATGGTAAGTGTGATGTCAGAAGCATAAACAAAGAACCACGGAGCACAGAGGATGGGGTGGGCTTGGCCTAGGGGAGTTGGTGAGAGCTTTGTGTAAGGTAAGACATGGAGATCTAACTCACAGGAAAAGTAAGAATGGAAGAAGATGGTAATCCAAGTGCAGAAACAGCACAGGTAAAAGTATGGAGCCTTTTAAAAGACCATGGTGTCTTCTGAGGCTTGAAAGAACCGGAGCTGGACTTGGTTGTGCAGGCTGAGGTCAAATGGCAAAAGGTCTTGAATCTCAGGCCAACGATTCTGAAGAATATCCTGTAGGCTAGGGGTTGGCTCAAGGGCCAAATCCAGCCTCTTTTTGTAAATAAAGTTTTATTGGGACAGAGCCACACTCATTTGCCTGCACACTGTCCATGGCACAGCGGCAGTGTTGAGGAATTGCAACAGAGACTGAATGGCTCACAAAGCCTATGGTACTTACTGTTTGGCCCTTTACAGAACAAGTTTGCTGAGATTTGCTGTAGGGTCTGAGGGGCCATTTAAGATGTTTTAAGTAGAGAAGGGGCAGGACCTCAGATCTATATTTTAGAAAGTCCACCATGCAAGCCTTGAGGAGGAAGTACTAGGGAAATGGCCCAGCCAGTGGGAGACAAGGAGAGTGAGATGGGTTAGGCAGCCACAGCCACTTGGTGCGTTAGGCTAATTATCTCTTAAGCATGAACGTGATTTAAAGTGGGGGGGGGGGGGGGCCCATACCAAAAAACCAGAATAAAAATTCTCCCTCACAAACAAACAAAAGTGCTTAAGAGCATTCTATGGCCAACTCTATTCAGAAAAACAAACATGAGCTTCTACAAACAGAAATCTAGCTCCCTTTCACTATTTTCCTTTGTTTTGTTCCACATGTATTTTTTTCTTTCTTCAACTTTTATCAGAAAAAAGTCATTATTACTTCAGCAAGTCCCACTCTCTCCCCTGACCCCTCTTATATCCCAAATGGAACCTGAGATATTTGTCATGCCCGTCCATTTGGTTCTTTCAACAACATTTCAAGCCATAACAGTATATTCTGATTCAAGTCAATCTTGCTCATTTAATAAGAAAAACAAGGACATAAGATACTTTAGCGAAACCTAAGTCCCAAAGAGAATGCAGAAAATAAAAACACCATTCCTGGGGTTTGAAATTCTTTAGACGGTCCAGAAAATCATCAACATATTTCTCTGGGAGTTCATGTGCTCCTTCCTTCCATTTGAAGGCGAGCATTCCCCGGCTCCCTGGTAGGAACTTCCACCACAAGGATAGAGACAGAGTCCCCTTTCCATGACAGCGTCTGGTGGCACCTTACTCACCTCCCAAGAACAGAATAGATGCAGAAAAAAGTATCCCTTGTGATCTTTTCCAACGAGCCAATATTGTGTGAGCCTCCTAGGACAGCGACACTAAGATACTGGGATGGTCTTTGGAAACCAGCAAAACACCAAAATCATTGTCATGAGGATTGCCATCCCCAAGAGGCCCAGAGTTCTTCACACAAAATACTCAGGCAGCTGAAGCACTGACATCTCTTTTGATTTGAACTACGCAGGTTACTGTTTCTGTAACTCATCTCAATACTCTAAGCGGGCCTGAGTACAGACTTAGCTCAGCAATACAGACCACTGACCTTCCACGAAGTATCTTCCTTCCAGACTTCCTCTTTCCCTAACTTTCTAACTTCCTTCTAGCCTACTTTTTCCCTCCATCTTTTCCTCCCATGTTCATCAGAAACGCAGTATGTGCTGGATGGTCGTTGTATTGAAGGATGCAACATGAGGGATGCAACAGCCAGAGGTGGAGCGTGGGGAGGGCAGGCAAACCAC